GTCCAAAGCCATGTTTGCCCTTGGAGGAGAACCCATGTGAGCAACTATTTGAGTACATGAGTACATTAGAGTAGCAAAATAACTTTATATTCCGCTTTCGTTTCCAAGAACCCCAGATAAAACAATGTGTGCACACAGTTCAGCAAACAGCATATTATACATGTCTATAATACTAAACATGCTGCGATGGGAGCCATGCCACCAGCTTGCGATTACAGTTTTTCTCAATTGCTTAAACACATTTCTTGAAATTATGCCTCTTTTTCTCGAAACTCTAAACACAAATCCACAACATCTCTCCCAATTCCCCAAACATCCTATTTTCAGGTCAAAATGAATCTCTTCACTCAAAACCCTTCAATCTTGCTGAAAAACTAAACTTTGCCCTCAGACATGACACACAAGCCCTCAAAAACACACACACTGCAACACAGTTTAACACACTGGTGAGATAAATTTAAAACAATACTACAAAAACTGGTTATAAGTCAGTAAAAGAAAAGGAAAAAAAGGTATAACAAATGTAACCATTTGCACAGTTTTTATTTCCTAGTGTACTTTACAGTACAACACACCAAACAACTAATTTTTCTGCCCCATTGTCTAGTCTTTGGTCTGGGACAGGACAGAGATTCTCATACTCTACGTCCTCCTCCTCCTCCTCCTCCTCATCTTCCTCCTATCCCATCTCCTCCTCTAACTCCTACTGTTCCTCTTCCTTCACCTCTTCCTCCTCTCCATACTGCTCTTTCTCCTCCTCCTCCTCCTCCTCCTCTTTTTCAAATATCTCTGGATCCATTGGTCCAAAACTAAATAAACTGACTCTGGCCCTTTTCTATTGAAGGTTCTGGTTGGTGTGTTATCATTTATGACTGTTTGTGTTTCCACCTGGGTAGTTGTGTGCTAACTGAGCTCAACCTATGCTGACTTGAGTGAACAATATTGAATGTTAGTGTTTTATTTAAAAAAAATTGATAGTTAAAATAATAATAGTTTAAAAGCCTGGTTATAGCGTTTAAGCAATTAAGAGAAACTGTAATAACCTTATTATATCTGTATTAGATATGTTGTAATATTGTAAAATAATAGCTTGAGATGAAGCTTTGGAAGTGACTCGCGTTGTGAGCAGCAGAGATGAAAGTCTTAGGTATGTAGAGTAATGAAATGTTTTCCGGAATTAATTATTGACAACTGGAATATTTTTCTCTGCTTCCATCTGTATACTGTATAGTCAGCAGTACCACTTGATATTTACCTTATACTATGTGTATATAAGTTCTAATAGACTGTACTGTTTAGATTATTTGATGTCTTCTCATAATTTATCTATTGTTTTAGTTTTCTTGTTAAGATGTAAAATGTAATAATATGTAATATAGTAGGGGTGTGGAGAAAAATCGATACAGCATATTATTATCCATGGCAATATTGTTTCAATACACAGAGGTCAAGTATCAATCTTTTATTATTTAGATTGTACATTTCCACAGAATTTTTCTTTTGGTACTATAATAATAAAATCAATTGCTTTTTCAGTCCACAAGAAAAAGAGTTTTCTTTTGGGGACACAATTTGAAGTTGGAAAAAAGGTAATAAATTGCAATATATTGCAATATGTTTAAAATCGCAATATCGTATCGTGACATAAGTATCGTGATAATATCTGATGATTCCCACCCCTATAATAGAGCCATGGCATTATGGTTTTTTACAACTGCTTACACAGAAAAACTTTACATGTCACACAATTTTTGAAACCTCTCACTCAAAGAGCAAAACCTCATCTCAAATCTCAATAAAACATTAGCTATTTCTCAGCCTTTCGCTCAGTTTTCAATTGCATCAAAATACTATACACAATTCTCTACCTAAGACACAAAAATCAAACAGGAAGTGACCCGCTTTCCTTTTCAAAACACTACCAATGAAAATGCTACACTTACTGACCAGGTCTCACACCCACTCCTCACATGTGCAAACACAAACTGCTTTACTGATCACTTACCAATCACTGCTTTAGTATAAAGTAAACCTATATTATAGGTCTACTGTATACTACTGTTTTGAACAATGGATGCCAACAATGGACAGAGAGCAAGGGGAGTAGGAGGGAGAGGCAAGGGACAACAATGAGGACAAGTTCAAGGAGGAAGTGTTAGAAAAGGAGGAGGACGACCAGGAGGACGAGGGCAAAGAAGTGAGAGCCATCACTGATGAGTTCAGGGCCACACTTATTGATCATGTGATCAACCATAGGTTGACAATGAATGAAGCTGGGCTGAAGGTGATGACACACAGAGTAACTTTTAGAGCAATCGTGCAGGGCAATGTTGCCGTCAGTGGTAATGAGTAAAGATTACTACCGTAATCCATTTCCCCCACCACTCCGCCACCCGCCCCGCACTATCCGTTCAAAACATAGTCGGACTTGCAACTAGCAAGATTGCCCAGCAACATTGCTCAAAAAGTTGCCCCGTGTATCATCAGCTTGAGATTCCAACCCCAGTTGAGTTGCTTTACATTGGCATCCATAATTTGATTCTTCAGAAATTAGAACAGGAATGCAACAATGTAATCTAGTGCACTTTTCAGCACCTCTTAGCAGATTACTTTCGCTCTAGAACATTGTATGGAAATGTACACATAAGCCTATAAAAAACAAAAGAGCTTTAGATTTAGAACAAGAGTGTGTAAATGGTATATCAAAGAAGTTACTTACTTTTTGAAAAAAGTGTTTGCCATCTGATGGCAAACACATTTTGGGATGTGTTTATGGTATTTTGAATGAACATATGAGGCATTTTGCATTTTGTGTGAGCAGTTTGGGGAATTGTGTGTAGAGTTTTGAAAAACGGAGACATAGTTTTGAAAACAGTGTAAGCAGTGGTAAAAAACTGTAACATCAATGCCAAGAAAGCATGTTTGTACAGTAGAGTACAAATTACTTT